CCCCGCGGCTGCACCTCTGTCCGTCCGTCCGTCCGTCCCCTCAGCCCCTCTGTCGACACCTCCGTTTATCCCCTCGGCATACCCGTCCTCCCCGCCCTCTCTGTGCAGCCCCCTCAGCCCTCCACATCCTTTTCCTCAGCCTTGCCACTCCCTATGGCTTCCTCCCCCTTCAGCCCTCGCATTCGTGCCCCCGTCGGTCAGCCTCGGCCTCGTCTTTCAGCCCCCTCACTCCTCTACTCCACGCCTCTCTCCATCCGCGCATCAAACATCTCAGCTTCTCCAGGCAGCCCCTCGTTTCCCCCAGCCAGTCCCTTGGCCTCTCCCATCCAGGCCCCATCTCTCACTGCTCCCCTCAGTTTCTCATCCAGCCCCTCTGTCTGTCCACCTGCAGCCTTTCTGCTACATTTCCAAACCATCCAGCCTCTTGTCCTGCACCACATCTGTCTGTCCACTACCCCACTCATGTTCCCAGCCTCCTCTTTGCTCATATGTCACCTTGTTCTTCCCTGTGCTTCAGTTTATAAACCCCAGTTTGCCCACCAGGCTGCCTGGGACCCTTCTTTAGCCCTACATCTGCCTCTCTGTGATTCCCCCCAGTGTTGCCTCCCATCCTCCCTAAAGTTCCTCCTTTAGTCCCTCAGTCCAGGCCTCTTATACCTCTCTCTCCTCATTTCAGATGCTCAGATCCTCTACAACTCCTGATTCTTAGGCTCACAAAACATTTCCAGATTCCTGGGTTTTCCCTCACGTTGCCTTCCCTTGACACCCTGGCATATCTTTTCTGTAGTTTTTTTGTGTCAGTTTGTTTTCTTGCCTAGAGAAGCTAATTCACAGATTCTGTCTTTGATCTTAAGATTTAGTTTTAATTCTGTTTCTTGCTCTCCTCCATTGATAGATTTGTATGAACCCTCGGAGCAGCAGCATCGCCCCCACACTGTGAATAAGAGTCGGAAGCAAACGCAAAGAGAAAAAGCTCTCCAGCAGCAATGCCAGAAGCTGGGACTACAGGGTGGAGCAGTCTCTGTTCCTCCTGAGCAGTTGCTTTCTGTACCAAAACACAAGCCTTGTCATCCTCAGCAGCCTGTGCCACAACCTCATCCTCCTTCAGCAGAAAAGTGACAACCAAGACCAGCAGAAGGAAGCGACACCAGTAGATCCTCGTAATGGCAGTGGCAGTGCACAGACCTGCTCTGCAAAGCCGAACTCCAAGGTGGAGAAAAAGAAAGTGGAATTGTTAGTAAGTTGGTAAAATCAGGGTGTGGGGTTTATTCTGTCCTGACTCATTGTTTTGTTGTACAGTACAGTGAACTTTCCTGTACCTAATAGGAAGGTTTGAGAGATTGTGTTTGCTTCCTCTACTTGAGTTGAATCTGATTCAAGGCCAAATTCTGTAGTGTAATCCATGCGGATACACACTGTGCTGTCTTCAGATAACTTCCTGTGGTAGTGGGACTGTCTGTCATAAAGTGCCCAAGACGTGAGTCTGTCTTGATAATTTATGGAGGCTTAACCTCACCTATGTAGTGCTGACCGGCAGGCACAACAAAAAGCCCCTTTGGAAGCAGATATGCCGTGGTTTATGTAGCTTTGTGTTCCCCTTCACAACATTGCTGCAGATTTGTTAATGCCAAAAGTGCCGGTAAGGAGGTAAAATTTCAGGTTTAAGCAGTTCTCTAGCTTTTACGGTTCAAGATGAGACCGATCTCAAGGCTCTCACCATGTGCATTAGCCCACAGCAGGGTGCCTGTCTCCTCTGAAGCATCTGGTACACGTGAGAAAGGAAAAAGTATTGAACATGGCTCTCTGGGATTCTGACTGAATGTGGCAATTACTTAGTTCATCATCCAGAATTCAGATAGTAGCCTAAAAAGGAAGCTGCTAAATGCTGGAGAGGGCAGGCATTTCCAGTGTCGGAAATTGCTTGTTTTTACCTCTTCATGTTTGTTTTCCTGTCTGTATCCAAGTGCTAACTTTCCTTTTCTCCTCAGCAGGCGAAGCAAAGCATGATGGGCAAAAGGAGAAATTCTTTTTCTAGGGCATATAGATTATTTTTAAAACATTTTAAGAATGCTGTTCCAACGTTGAGTTCCTATGCAGGTCCAAACTTTTCTGCCCAATATAATCAACAAACAGTAGCTGGCCGCCAAACTTCCACACATCATTTATATTCCCCCAAAACAGGGATCAGCAGTTTTCCAGGTGCAGTGTACCAGACTGTCTCTGGTTAGATCTGTCTGTAGGATCTCAGAGGGGACTAAAAAGGTCTGAAGGTGCTTCCCCCTGGAGAGGCAGGACTGTGGCAGTCAGCAGCCCTTGTGTGGAGAAGCAAAATGTGACTTCTCCCAAATTCAAAACTCAGAAGGATCCATGAGGTTCTGGTGTGCACAGGTGTGCCTTGAGAGGCTGCAGGTACTGGCCGTGCTGCCTGCCATTTACCTGCCTGGCTCCTGGCTGGGATCACTTACCTGCAAATGGCTGTCCCTTTACAGGAATAGCAGCATTTTGAAGAGCAGCACCAAATTCATGGTGTGGGTGCAGCTCACCAGTAGTGCTGGCTGTTCAGCTCCTTCCTGGTGGTGAAAAATGCAGATGTTACATGACAGGGGAAAAGATAGCTAAAGCTTTACAGCGAAGTTTCTCACTCTGTGGAGAGTAAATGACATTTAGCTGCAACAGCCACCTCCTGAATTTGCTGAATTCATCTCAGCCTGTGCACTTGAATTTAAATCTTATTAGAAATATTGCTCTGTATGAGGTTTTAGGAAGAGGGTAACGAGGAGAAGTCTGAAGAGATATTCTTGTGCCGAAATGGTTGTTAAGGTTAACATAGCTGAGTTACTTGGGTATTTTTAAGCTGAGACTTCTTGAGAGAATGCATGAACACCACAGCAGGGTGGAAAAGCAGCAAAGCAATTTTTGTTTCTCCTTAATCCTGCCCAGTTGTGTTGATGCAGGTTGTCCCCTCTCACCTGAGACCTTGCCTTCCATCCTCTGAGGCTGGTTGTATCTCTTGGTAGATGTAGCCTAGGAAATGGAATCCTTACAACTTTCCCTGTTGGCAAAAGTGAATTCTTGTTCCTTGTCTTTGCTCATTTTCATTGTAACTTTTACCAGCCTTTCCTTTGTATCAGTTTAATTATTTGGGGACTGTACCAGCAGACCTGTGAAAGGATCTGTTTTATGGAAAAGCATTTCCAAAAAAGAGGCTATGTTGGCAGACTGAACAGATAGCAACTTCTAGCAGCCAGAAGGAAACCTGAAACTGCTTCTGCCTAGTGGGGAGGCACATCCTTTCAATGAAGAATTTCACTCATTTCTGAAAAAGCACAGTATGCTCTTTCTCCCAGCAAAGCTGAATTAACCAGCAGCTTACTTGCTTGTGAAGATTTTTGTTCTGATCGGCAGATTTCACCTGGAAATGTTTTACTGGTCCAAATGACTTTTTGCAGGTCATTCTTCTTTCCTCAGAATTGAAACCTGTTTATCGTTCCTTTGACATTTTTAGAGTTTGCTCCAGGAAATATGATGGTGAATATGTGTGTCATTTGGGGAACGGGGAGAGAAATGAACTTTCTATTAATTTTGATCTTGTTGTCAATGAGCAGGCAGGAAAAATCGCGATGGGAAGTCCTGCAGCAAGAGCAGCGGCTGATAGAAGAGAAGAATAAACGCAAGAAGGCACTCCTGGCCAAAGCCATTGCCGAGAGGTGAGGGGCTGTGCTGCAGCATGGGCTGAGGCTGAGGAAGGGGTTACTTTTCATCTGCAACCAGTTGCATATCTTCTATTTAAATCTCGCTTTTTCCTTCTCTCTGTGCTCTGTGTGTACTGCTCCACAAGTGAGCAGCTGCAATCAACATTTCACTTTGATGACAAGCGCTGGCTAAGAAATTGTGACTAAGCTTTTCACACTTCCAAAGCTGCAGCTTTGCACGCAGATGGAAGAGTTATTACACAGTTTGAGAATTAGCTGAAGTCCTTGTGCCTCTTAGTAAGGGCATATTTGGAAGTTGGGGTGCTCAGATGCTCATCTCTGTTCTATTCCTGATTTGTTTTCACTGGATTTAAGGAAAGTTTATTTGATTCCTAACCTACAAAGGGAAACTATAGCTATTTCTGTTTGGGCTTTTCACTTAGTGTGTGAAAAGTGTTGAAAAGAGAAGACGATCAACTTTAAGAAGGTACCTTTTTGCCACGGGTTGACTAGAAATTATAAAAATTCACATGTTCTTACAGTTGTTAGATCTTGCTCTTCAGGTCACCAAACTTAAAGGTATTGTACAGTGTTGTCCACAAAGGTAGTTTAAGACTACAGGGAAGGCAAGGTTTGTAGGGAAGGATATTGGAGCAGCTGATAACACTGGATCAAGGAAGGAGATGTGAAGCTTTCAGGCTCACAGTGCTCTGGCAGACACGTGTTATGTTCTCCCCATCAAAGCTCTTGGGTAGCACAGGTGAACTTAGCCAGTACTGTCCAGAAGATTCTCTTTGAGGTTCTGAAGATTTTGTTTTCCTTTGCCAGGCAGAGATAAAATACAAGTCTGAGTCACTGTAGGACAGTAAACGTGGGTGCGACCACCAGGCTGAGTTCTTTCTCCTGGAAGCAGAGCATGAGGAGAGAGAGGAGAACTTGGAAGGTGATCTCTAGGGAGTTATATCTGGCATCCAAAGGCCTTCTTCAGACTCTGAGCAATGCTTTAGGATGTCTGTTTCTCTCCACCTGCATCAGCTGGTCTAATTGAGAGATGGTGTCACTTCCTACAAACCTAATCTTGCTCTCAAGTACCTGCTTTGGGGTGTAAAGCCGTGGCTGAAGAGCATGAGTTTGCTGATGGTGATGAATGGCAGCAAAGTGACATGGTGCAAAAGCTTGTTGAAAGTTACTTAGCTTGCTTGGGAGTTAAATCCATCAAAGCTTGCTGCCCTTAGCAACATTTAGTTTTCAGAACTTAGGAATGAACAGGGAGAGTTGAAAAAGGTTACATAAGACTTGATTGAAATCCTTTGTGTTTGATGTAAAACTTTCCATTGACTTCACTGGGATTTGGCTAGGCCTTTTGGGAATGATTTTCCAAAATGGAAATCAAGCTTAGGTTAGGTGACTTTTTGGCCCCTACTAACTAGGCTTCTTTGAAAGGGGATATTTGCAGGGCTAAATACCCTTCCCCCTCTTGCTCCCCCCGCAAGCCATTTCCTGTTTCCTTACACTGAGAACTACTTAGATACAGCAGCTTCTTGTGTGTTTCCACAGTGAAGAAACACAATCCATTTTAGGCACTTTGATTATAGTCATTACGTAATTTTGCCATAGTCCTTTAATAGCAGGCATTTTAGATCCCTGTGGATATTAAAAAAGATCAAAAAGTCTTAAACCATAAAGGAGAAACCTTCTGAATAGCTCTTAAAGAAGTTAGTTGCTCTGCAAATGAAGTGGGGCCCATTATGTCAAGAAGAGAGGTCTGAAAAGAAAAAAAAAGGCATCTTCCTTTTGCAGATCCAAAAGAACTCAAGCTGAAACAGTGAAACTAAAAAGGATTCAGAAGGAGTTGCAAGCTCTGGATGACATGGTATCTGCTGACATTGGCATCCTGCGGAACCGCATCGATCAGGCCAGCTTGGATTACTCCTACGCCCGGTAAGAGACAGGCAGGGAGGAGGGAGAAAATGCTGTTTCCTGTCACCGAAGCAGAAGTGGAGTTATGTCATTGTAATAATGTCTAGTTAAAGCGCTCACAGTCTGGAGGGCTTTCAAATCTTGGGGTAAAAGTGTGCTTTTTACTTCCTAATTTTTCCCTTGGAATCTGGAAACCGAAGTAGTGTTTCTGACTGCAGACTGTGCTTTCCAGCTCGGTGCTGTCACGAGACATACTTACTGCTTTAACTGTGCAGTTGTCCATAAGCCCTGCTTTATTGTTTCAAGGTTGCTTATTTCTTCTCAGGGGGAAAGAATTAAAAGTCCTAAAATGAAAGTCCTTTTCAGGGAAACTTGCTCTGGTCCTATTGGAATCAATGGGACCAATTAAGCTTAAAGCATGTAATACTGCTGAAGTGCTTTTGGAACTGGAACCAAAAATTGAAGGAAAAGTGAGCTTTCACCCTTCACAATGTGCCTTTAATCACTCGGGTTCTGATGAGTTCCTTAAATGCAAGAAATTGATCAGAACACCCTATTAGTTGTGGGTAAGCCACAACATCAGTAGATAAACATCAGCATGTTTGTGCAGCCGTTTAATAAAACAGAAACGTTCGGCCGTGGGTTTTGGTTCACGATTCAATGTGTTAAATGTGTATTTCTCCTTGTGGCTTCTGCCATACGTTGACCACAGGCCAATAAACATGGCAATTAGTCTTCAAAAAAATAGCAGCGGTAGCTAAAAAATAAGGATTTCTTCTGTGTAATTATCATTTGGAATATCTAAGATTAACTGTAGTTTCAGTAGCTTAGCGCGTGTGAATACTGAATTTCATGTCCTCAATAGGAAAAACATTTCAGTATTTTAGGTTTAAGTCTGATTTCTAAAACTATGAAATGCTCCTGGAAATTTCCTTAGCAAAATTTTGTAATAATGTGTCTATTGGAAATGCTTGATGGCAAAAGAGCATATAACACAAGTGGCTCTGATGTTTGGAAAGCATCAGTTTTTAATGAAGATAACAAAAAGGGATGCCGGTAGGACGAAGGTGATAAACTTCACAAAATACTTAATGACTTTCATAAACTTAGGAAGTCTTTCTTTTTGTGAGGGAAGGATTTGGAAATGCGAGTTAGATACTTTCAGCCGTGTAATTTTTATGCTTTTTAAGCAATTTTTTAGTTCTTGCCTTGTTTATAGGGCTAAAGCACAAACAATTTCAGTGAGTCAAAAAGCTCAATATTAAATAGTCCTGAGCACATACATAGTTAGGGGCATTTGATGATGGCTGTGGAATGGAATTCTCGTAAATACGGTGTGAAGAATCTGTGTGAATCTGGCCCAAAGGTTTAACTGTGCAGAAGTTTCCAGCATAGCATTAGTTCTTCCGTTTCAGATACCTGGTCCGGGGAAATCTTGACTTTCTTGTGAGGGAAGCATAAGCGAGCATCTTCTGCCCACTGCAGATGTAGCCTTTACAGCTGGGTCAAAGTTTAGTGTTTATTGTATAAAGGAGCATGTTTGGAAAGGCTTCTCAATGTCTTACTTCCTTCTGTTTCCCGAAGCAAAGGATCTCTTCTATCTTTCTGTTGCTTTGTTTAACCAGATATTTGAATCTGGTTTTATAAAACAGCCGGATTCTTTATTCAACCACCATAAAACTAATATTAGTTTTATGAGTGCTCTGTAAAGTACATCACATCGTCATTCTGCAAAAGCCTTTGCATGTTCCTTTTCCTGATGAGCAAGATTGCATCTATCTTTCTATTAATTAAATCAGAATTAATATGCACATTCACTGAATATAGAGGAAGATGCGTCACTGATGCGGACACCAACCATTAAAGTGCTAGATATCCTGGATGTTTTAACCTCAATAAATATTTGGAATATTTCCTTTTTGCTATATTTGTCATGACAGGAAGTGCAAATTGGCAGGAGGTGTGTGTTGCGGGGATGCTTACAATAAAATTCTACATCTGTTGCCACGGAAAATTTATGAACACTATTGATGTCATATGCTGTATCAGTCTGTGCTGCTCATGATTTTCTGAGCGTGTATATGGGTGGCTGGAAGAGCACACTCCTAGACCAGATCCAACTGTAAATGTGTATAGCACCATTGTAGCATCTGCATCTGTTGGGTGGATGGTTGGATAAGAGAAAACACAAAAGCGTGTTGCAGTGTTTCGGTTCACTAGATAAGCATTCCTTAGAAGTGTGAGAACACAGCAATTCTGATGGTTTCTTTCTGCTGCTAGTGATGCATCTCTTAAAACAGGCAGTAAAAATGCTTCTTCATGATTCAATCTGTAGATTTCAGATGAGCAAATTAACTCTTGGAATACAGCAGCAGTGGAGGCTAACGTGTCAAGAGGAGAAGATTTGATCAGTTCACACTCTTGTTCTTCCCTTTTACTAATGTAGCAGCATGTCACGAGTAGCTGGCATGATGCGTTGCAGAGCACGTTGCGTTTCAGGGGTGCTTAAAGTATCTGTCCATGTGTCAGGCTGTAAAGTGCTTTGAGAACTAACCCACCAGGAATGATGATGATGATTTTGCAGGAAGCGGTATGAAAAGGCTGAGTCGGAGTATGTGGCAGCCAAGCTGGACCTCCAACACAAGACAGAGATTAAGGAGCACCTGACAGAGCACCTGTGCACGATCATCCAGCAGAATGAACTCCGCAAGGCCAGGAAGCTGGAGGAGTTAATGCAGCAGCTGGAAGTGGAGGCAGATGAGGAAAATCTGGAACTTGAGATAGAGGTGGAGCGGATGCTGCAGCAGCAGGAGGCAGAAGCAGGGAGACAAGCCAGCCAGTCACACAGTCATGCTGGGACAGCTAAGGAAAACCCCTCTCCCAGTGTTACGGCACAGGAGAGTGAGCGTGGTAACCACGCTGTCGCCTCTGCTGTTTCTGAACAGTCGGTTCAGTCTCAGAACTCCGGTACCAAATCCCTCTCCAATATGGACAGCCAAACTCAAGCAGCAGATGTGACTCCAGGAAGCCCCTCAGCTTGTTCTGCTACATGACTGCTGTTCAGATAAGCCACCCTGTCGTGGACGATACGCTCCCTGCGGGCTTGTGCGCTGTGGGTTGTATCTGGGCTTCTGCAGTGCCAGTAACACGCACTTCATTTCTCCTCTCCTTGAATATTGTTTTCAAATTTTAAGGGCTCTTTTTTTCACAAGACTCCCATCTGGGATTCACCATCTGTCATCATCATTCTGGGTTAAGTTCATGTTCTAATGTCCCGCTCTTCACGGGCCTTTGTACCTTCCTGAAGCAGAACGCTTGGAAGTGAACAGTAGGGTTTTTCCAACAGGCTTTCAGCGTGTCGGTATCGCAGATACCTATTCCAAGCAGTGTACGAGAGACACGTATCTACAGGAGAAAACACCACAACTCAGCCTGCTTCTGAACACGTTCTGTCCCCTGACAACTGGGATGAGATGTTTGTCTGTATCCATAAGGAATTAGCTTCCAATGGTTTTTAATCTTGTGAAACCCAGATGTTTACTTGAATTGTCTGATACTCTCTCCTGTACCTGATTTAAAGGAAATTCGCATATTGAGGCAAATTGCAAAGTCAATTGTAGTATTTCTTGTTTATCACTTTGCCTGTTTCTTTCAGATTATTCTGGATCACACAGAGCCGTCTGTCGATAACACTATTATCTATGAAATCACAGCAGCGACGGTTTAACAAAAACGGTGGGTTACGGTTTAAGACATTGTGGAATGTATGATGCAGAGTAGAAACACACCAAAGAGAGTGTGTTATGGTTAAAGCTGTTCCATTACAAACGTTTTTCTCTGTCATAGTTGCCTCAGAGTTCCGATAATTAGCCAGGGATCTTGTAATGAGTAATCCCCACAGTATATGGGAATTGAGTCCATTTTCATATAATAGTCAATGCATTTTTGTGCCTGAAGAGCGGGTTTGTACCCCACAAGAAGTTCAACTGGTTTGTTCTGTTGCTGTTGAAAGGCTTTGAAAAGCTATTCCAGGTGGAGAAAGTGTCAGGAATTAAAAGAGAGGATGTAGGAAAACCTCCGATAGACCGACACAGCTGCAAACCGTGGGGACAGTGTTTTGTATCTGCATTGCAACAGAGGAAGGCTGCTGTCATGGTGGAAATGGTTTCTGTAACACCTGACCTGAACGCATCAGAGTTTATGAATGAATTACTGAGTGATGCCATCAAGTACATAAACGGGACACTGATTGTCTCTATGGCTTTAATAGTGGAAAAACATGTCACTACATTTCATTTTTATTCTGTTAATAAATCAGTGCATCTTCTACACAGTGTGTTTACTTTCATTTGTGATATCTGATACTAATACACGTATCCAAGACTGTTTTTCCACAGGATATGATAAATGACAGAATCAGATATGTCCTTGGACAACTTTCCGCTGTGTGAAAGTAAAACCTCGAAAAAGGCTGTTCCAAAATATGAAAATGTATGAAGCAAAGACATGGCAGGATACAGCTTGGCAGGAATCTTTTCAACTAACTGTGGCCTGAGGCAGCAGTGGAAGATCTCTACTGGTGCCTCCCATAAACAGGAGAAAGTGGGATAAATCTATTTCCTAGAGAAGCCACTCATGATCAGGGCTGATTGAAGTTGCTGGTACACTGCATTCCCTCTTATTTTGCTGGAAGACCTGGCCTAAAAGCGGAAGATTTTGTTGTGTTGTAAGAAAGTTGTGACTGACTTCCTTTGCTCTGTCTGCAGTTGCAGAACAGCTTGTAGCAACCTGATTATGGTTTTCAGAACTGGATACCAGTAAGTGCAATAATAATTTAATTGTACCATTCTTGTTTCCATCCTCTGCAGCTGTCCCCAGTTGCTCCTCAAGAGAATCTAAGTCCTAGTGGCTAGGTCTGTTCCTCATTACAGTTGTATTCAGCTCATCAGGGGACGTACAGAAGAGTTGAATTGCAATGGTATTTACAGGAAGCACACGCATACCATTTTGCATGTAATTTGTGATTCTGTAGTAGGCTAAAGTGTGGTTAAAATAGTTCTTCTGATTGCATCTTGTCACGGATGAGATTATGGTTTGAACTCCTCAAACCAAAAAAGGAAAAGAATTATAAGCCCGAAGAGCTTTTTGACAACTATTTAAGAATATGAGCTTCCTAGAAAGGACTAAGTTTATTTCCAACAAAATTACCTAAAAGCTGAAGAGTTCTTGTGTGCCATCTTGATAGTGCTGGTGCCGTTCTTGCCTAACAGGGAAGACGCTATTGTTAGAATCAGCAGTTTCTGTTCTCTTACGAGTCCCTCATCGAAGTTCTAGCCAGTTCTATCTGTCTTGAACTTCTGAGCTTGCAAAATGAAGTGAACTGGCTGGAAGCCACATGGAGCAGCCAGATGAAATAAGGAGAGGCAGCCTAGCATTTGGTTGCTCTCTCTAGACAGGGAGCTCAGGAGTTAAATTGTTTGATCTGAGTTATGAAGCCTTTCTCTGACGTGTGATATAAACCACTACCATGGTGTCAGTTCCACTTTGGAAGTTCGCAAACGTTTTGATGGGTGCCAGTGTGCCGGTTTAACATTCCCCCTATGCCGGAGCCAAGCAGTCCAGTCATAATTGTAACAACATGTGTGCTGGTCAGAAATGCCAGGAGATGATTTTGGTGCAACAAAAGGGTTGTTTTTTCCCTTGTTTTTCCTTGAAGGAAAGAGAACAGTTGGAATTGAGACTCTTCAAGCAAAAGCTGTCCGTTTCTACTTTTGTAGTAGCTGATGCATCTTAGAGCATTTGGCTCTGGTGTCGCTGGAGTGTGTTGAAGGCAGGTGTGCTGTCCACTCAGCTAGCATGTGGTATCTCTTCAGAAAAATGGAAAGTTCGGGTGGGCAGATTTTTAAGTTGAGGTCCTCTTGCAGGTAAAGATAGAAGTCTGAACATGGAACGTGCTGGAGTTGAAAACCCACGGCAGGGAAAATGGAGCAATGCATGATATCTGACAGTAACGCTGCAGGGCTCATCGTGGGTGACTTGTGTTCTCCTGTGGCAATTTACCCATTTCTGTGTTGGGCCACCGTGTTACTGTTATGGGAAGAAGTGGAAAACACCAATACATACCACTGTGAGAATGTTACAAAGCGCAATATAATTGCCCATGTTGCAGTTTGGCCAGGATGTTGGGATTAACACTCCCTCCTCTGTCAAGAAATGTTTAAATGAGCACAGATGGTCATGGCTCAGCCTGGGGTTCCCATGGATGTCTAGTGCATGGTGTAAAACACTTGGACAATCCCCAATCTGATTGTATATCCAGCCAGCTGAAGTTGGGCTCTCAAGAGGTTTCAGCTTAGGGTAGCTGTCTGGGGAGAGACTCGAGTTCTCCCCATCAGCCGTTCTTCTTCCTAATACCTTCTGTGATGCAGTGGAGTCTTCTCTTTGAGCCTGTATCCTGTCTAAATCGAATGAGGAAAAACTAGGAAGAGTGAATAGTGACTGGCCTAGTGGTTGGGAGTACTGTGTTTCCTGACCAGCTGTATTAAGAACATGCTAGAAAGGATTGCTTATGGGGAAGTTACCCTGTTCTGAGGAAGTTCTGGAGCCAAAGAAAGGGGCAGAGTACTATTGAATTGCCTCCCATGCTCGGATTCCCTCCGTTCTGCGTTTTTTGCTTAGGACAGTAGGATCTATAGACTTTCTGTTCCTAACAGCCTTTTGTCAAGTTTGGATCAAAACCCCTGTGATATGGATTGTCCCAGCTGAGGCCTGATGCTTTACCAGATGACGCTTGTGTGGGATCTTTGAGCATCTGTGGGTCCTGGACTGGGTTTGGTACTTTCATGTGATTCTGTGTAGATGTCTCGGATATCTACGGTCCACTCCTGTGCACGCTGTAGCTGTGTATAAGGGTCCATGCTGTTGCTGAGAGCGGGATACAATCTTTCTGCAGGCCTGATCCAACCCAGAAATCATGTGTGGTTCCTCTTCTAATTCTGTGGCTATAAGCAGGTGTGGTGCGTAAGGGACAAAGGGTTTTGCCAGTGGCAATGCAAACAGGGTGTAGAGATACGGGCTGGTATAATAGAAACCAAATGCTTGTTAAGTGCCCTATTTAGGCTTGTCTGCATGGTCCTATTAAAGCGAGTGTTGGCTCCTTTGATGGGGCACGAGACTGGTTTCCTTCATCATTTCCCCTGATTTATGTCCCAGCAGCAAACTTGTACGTCAGTGGGGAAAGACCAAGTAACGAGAGAAGTTAGCCAAGCCTCACCCCTCGGCATGATAGGATGTCAGATCCTGCAAATCCTTGCCTTTGGCAGCCTGTTAGTTACAGGATTTAAATCATGCCTTTTAAGACACAGGTAGAGACACTAAAAAGCTTGTGCTTTTCTGAATTAGGGCCTGGATTGTGTAGTTAGAGTCATTTTCTCAATTAGCTAAACATAAATCAGTATAACGAGGCGCTTGGGAGCACTGGGCAGGTTTAGTACCTTGTCTCTCTCCTGCCTCTGTCCATACCACTCCCACCTGCTTGTTTGGCTGATCAGCCAGTGATTTTATTTTTCCACACTGCTAGAGCTGAGCAGTGGGTTTTAATGTCTGAACTGGTTTTCACATCTGGCACAGGTGTGGGAGAGGTGAGAACTGGGAGAAATTGCTCTTACGCAGTCAGTAAAGCAGCCCTCATGCATGGCAGAGATCTGGCAGTCTGAGCACCCCATCCCACACCATCCTTCTGAGGATGGGGCCAGTGTCGTACTGAATAGGCAGTGGTGGGTGGTGGCATGAGTGCAGAAAGTCTAGCGACAGTGGGGATGCTGTTCGGCGTGATGTCGGACTGGAAAGCATGTGTGGGGGCCAGGCGCTGTGTTGGTACTCCAGAGCTGGGTAGCCAACCCATGACTCCATTTTCTAGGGCTACGCCATGTAAAGGCTGTGCTGTTTTCTGGAGACCGCTGGATAATTGAAATGGGGCAGGTAAGAGAAAATCTTGGAGGTTTCTCATAGCAAAGAATGAAACCCGAAGAGCTGGAATAACCCATTTTGTGCC